TCCCTTCCACACCTTTTTGTTGCAACTCAAGGCAATTAGGAAACTTGAAGCTCAACTACTACAATAACTTAGCAACAACATGTCATTAAATATCAAAGTTACTTGCAAGCCCAAGTGTCAAATGAACATATGCAACAGACAAACGTTTTATCCAGACTGCTAAACCAGATATTTCACCTGATTGAATCAAGGTTCACAGACTACATAAGGCAGTCAGTCTGTGATACAATGAGGCCAGCAATGGGATGGACTAGAACTGACCCACTTTCAAAATTCATCTTATCCAAGCTAAACAATCAAGAATGGCTAATCTGCATATGGATACATCTATTTTCCATAGAAGATGTTTTCCCGCTACATACACAAATGTACATGCATGTATGTGAAATATACAAGGCTCTAACATACAATGAACTTTTATTTGTTTAATTATATCTTCCCTTTTCATTAATATTTATGATAACGATTTGAGAAAGTTTTAGAACTGTTTTAGCAAAATCATACAAGTCAGCATCAACGAAGTAAACTTTTTAACTTCTTTGAATGCTATAATTTTTATTACCATAAATTGTTTGCAACATTTTACAATTTTTAATTTATTTTTCTATAATTTTTTTGTTAATTTTGGTCCAAATAAACCTAATTTTTCATTGGATTCAAGTCTTGATCAAAAGTTTTGAAAAAAGTATCCTGCTTTATTCTGTGAAAGGTGGAAATAGTTTTTCAATACACATGTAGTTTCTTTATAATATCAAAATGGTTTGCTTTGAAGGAGCAAGGAGTTTTTCTAGTTGTTGGCATTCGGGAAAAGTGTGGATATGAAATAATGATCCTATTTTAAAGTTCAGTGTAGAAAGTAATTTATTTCCTATGAATACAACAAATTTACATAAATTGGAATAGAAATTATTTACAACATGGGAGGGACCGAGTGGAAATAGTGGAGCCACTAGTTGATTCCAATTCCTCATTTTATAATAACAGAATAATTTTGATCATATTGGACACAGATTCATAACTGCAAACAGTTTTTCAGTAATTTTTGTTTCCTTAATCCTCTAGGCACCAAAGCCAACCTCAGGCAAAATGCAAAAAATAGTTCCATTTATAGTCTGCTTTTTTTTCCACAGAAACTGTTCATGAAAATTTCAATTTTGTTTAAGCAAAATCTAGAAGCAATGTCAGATTTGGTCTGTTTTGTCTAAAATTAGGATTGAATTAAGTAAAAATAATTGAAAACGTGAACAAATACACACCATTTTGAGCAGTGAAAATGTGGCAAAAAATTCTTGGCTTTGTGTACATGATATGACAAGGCAAGGAATTACTGAGCCGTATTTTTCAACAAGATGTTCCTGCGGTAATATGAAAAGTAAGTACAAGTACCTACAACAACCATATTGTAGACAATATTGTAGACAATATTTAGTACAAATTTAAAGTCAGTTCATACTCCAAAAATGGAGAGTGTTCTAATCAGTGAACAAGTCTGATGATATATGTAGTGTTCGTACTCATTTTCACAGTATATTGGCTTTGTTAAATTAAACCACAATTTTGTCAACTCTTTTTCAAAATAACTGTCACCTGCTTCACATTCTGCTCATTTCCATATTTGGGACTATATGGAGTACGAATATGCTAATTTGCAGACTCAGCCAGACTTTATCAATCAAAACAAGTTTGGCCCACACAAAAATAGTCTGATGGACTCAATGTTTTACTGATAATAAGTACGAGTTGTTTTTTATCGACTGAAGGGGTGATTATATGCCTCATACTCCAATTACACTGTTACAGTAATGGAGTTATTTTCTTGGACATATCACTCCGGATTCGTACAATTTAATCTTTTTTTCTAAAAGTTGGACTTTTTGTTTCTCAATTTCTAGTCTCTCTTCGTCCAATTTCATTTTGCGCTCTTCAATTTCGAGTCGACGCTTCTCGACTGTGAGTAATTCCTTCTCAATCTGCACCAGAATTAATTCTTCAGAGCTGGACCGAATTTTCTTAGAACGCGGTGATGATGCAACAGGTAATCTTTGTGGCTGTTGCTCAGCTGCAATCGGCATAGCGGGAAAACTTGTGCTCATAGAAAGTCTCGGCGGCACTGACTGTTGGGGTAGGGTTTGATTTCTCTGAGGTGTCTCTACTGCTGAACTCACCCTCCAACTACAGGCTCCATCGCCAGTGACATGTTCTGGTATTATTACATGGGCTGAAATCAAAACATAGTTTATTAGTTCAGAAGCATCTGTCAAGAGAGTAAAAAATCACATTCATTATTACGTCAAGTCTTTGAGCGTCAAAGTCAACTTGCCTAAATTTTTACAAAATATCTCATTTTTTCAGGATTTGTTCAACAATTTTGATTTACACTGACAGCCAATCAAGAATTTCATCCACTTGGCCTAAAAATTAACTAAAAAATTATGAAAAAAAAAAACAAGAAAAATGTTGCATCGTTTGGCGTCATCACAAATAGCAGAATTTACGATTTTACCACCATTGATAAATTTATTTTTGTAAATTTTTGTCACATTTTACAAAAGAAATTTTTTTTTTCTTCAGAATTTTGATTCTCACCTGCCGTCAATGAGAAAATATGTCCATTTAAAAACACAAATATTATACCAAAAATTTTGGGGGTAAAATTTTTAACTAGAACGTAAACACATTTAAAAAAAAAAAATCAATGAAAATATTATAAATTACCTAAAACATCTTTGACATCGACTTGTTCGTGGTTTGGAGTCTCTACGCACGGTTCTTCCACTATATCGTCATTTGGCATGTTGTCTAATATCGACATAACTCGCTGTTCGATAGAATTCAGTCGCCGTTTCATGCTGGTACCACGGACATGTATATATGATCTATGGTCTTTCTTCAAACTTGCAGCCTTCACTCTGATGAAACTGGACCACTCGACCCATTTGCGGCGAATCTCCTTATAATCCCGTTGAATATTGGAAATAGTGTTCATTTTGTATGCGACGTCTTTCCACACAATGGCTTTCTGCTCAAGTGCGGAGGAGTCATTACCTTTGGCGAACAGCAGATCCATTCTGGCAGCCACCTGGTCTACAAGAGTTTCCAATTGATAAGAAGTCCAGTTTGGACGCCGTTTCTTTTTCTCAGCCATGATTTGGTTCAGTTCAGTGAATGCTGATTACAAAGACTGTCTTTGTTAACAGGAAAGACAGTCATTACTCAACGCATAGAGTTAAGACAGTCTTAAATGGAAGGATTGTAAAATCCACCAGTTTGGTAATCATGTATCACTGAAAACCAATCTTTCCTGATTGAGACAACTTTGTTGATAAACAGCTTTTATAAAATCAGCTCAGAAGGGGAAAATAACAGCCATAAACGAACAAAGACTGCACTCCATGAACCACGCTTATTTCACACTACCCCTTGCTGGCCCCTTTTATGCTAATTAGACTGGGTCAGCAAACTACAATGACCTTTGCACCATTGTAGTATATTGGATATTTACAATAGAACAGCTGGGCTTCTATACACATACACAATCATAACAGTTTCTTTCTTTTTTTTGAAAGACAAATTTAGAATACAAACAAACGCTATGTCAGTGACAGGATTAGACTGACGCTATTTGTACAAACATTGCATCGAGGTAGACAGAACAACATTGCACTTGAACCTTGCGGTAAATCTGCTTTTTCTCTTTCAAGTTTGTGTGAGAGTTTTTTTTTTCCCCATTTCCCTTCAACAATTTTTTTTTTATTATAAATTTTAATTTTTAATTTACCTTGTGCAGATTATGTTGCTGGCATATAGAGCAAATACAGTAACCTTGGATACCGTAAAAAAGTGGATTTTAACTACAATAACCCTTCCATTAGCAAGAGAAGTGATCAAAGCTGTTCTATTGCCCAGATAGTTAAACTAAGGCATTAAGTTTTCCGTTTTCAATACAGAACAAAAAGATTTTTCAGACTTTAAAATGGAATGGAAGATAAAAGACAAATCGAGACAACAAACAACACAGACAAAAGAAATTAACATGGACTTTTCAAAGTTAATCAATACAATAAAAGTGT